CTTAGTTTCCTAGTAAATCTATAGAGTCCAGCCTTGTTATTATTTTATTTCTTAATAAATAGAATTTCTCAAGTGTAGGCTCAAGACCAACATACTATGGCTGCCAGGAAAAATATGACTGCTTTTATAGATAACATTTTATTGGAACAGCTGTGCACATTCATTCACTCATTCATTCATTATCTATGGCAGCTTGCCCATTTTAATTGCATAATAGAACAGTTGTGAGAGAGCCCATAGGGCCTGAGAAGCTGAAAATTACTACCTAATACTTCAAAGAAAGTTTGCCCACTGCTGGTCTCCATCTAATTCAGAGGTCATGGATTGTATTTCATAATGTTACATTGTAGGAAAGAAATGAATTGTCCTCTGTCATGTAACTCAGATACCAATTACATAACTTTTGACTGCATGGAAGCTTCATCTGATCAAAGTATGTGTCAGAGTTTCATATGTTAGCTTTATACTTAGGACATCCTCTTACATAATGGCTTCATTGTAGCCATTCTAGAGAACTGAAATTTTAATCAGCAAAATTTCATGAGCTTTTCCGCTTTTAATGGAAAAGGGCAAAGAAGCAAATCCAATTAAGTGAATTTAATCATTTTTCCTTTGCCTCTTGCTTATTCTCAATTCTTATTCCTTGTGTACTACAGTTCTATATTGTCAAAAATTTTCATTTTGCATATGCAAATGCTTGTGGAGACACTTGCTAACTACCATAATTATAGTAACTACACAGGTAACAGCAAAGCTCAAAGTTTGAGCTCATTTTTCCAGTGTCCATCACTGTGCTCCTATGTGTATATTCCAAGCTCTTGTTTAATCCTCTAAATCTTGTTCCATTTCATGCTATATAAACTGCCCATGAACTCTAAAAAGGGAGGAAAAAAATTCTTCAAAAATGTATTGAGTCTTCAGTTATTTGTCTACCAGATGTGTCACCGTGGAATTCCACAACCAGTCTCATTGATTAAATTTTCAAGGCATGATGTACATGTCTCTGAGTTTACTATAAACCCATCAGTTTGTTGAGTCATGCATAGGAATACATGCAAGCTAATGAGCACACAAAGACCTTACTATGGCATAGTACTGGAGGAAGCAATGGGGTATTTTGTAGCAAACCCTCTGAAAATGAAAAAAACCTACTATAAGAATTATATAAATGCAAGTGAATACCAAGCAAGTGAAGCAAGTGGCAATATTTTAAGGATTTGATTTTAACTGTTGCCAGTATTTCAAGCTTGCATTTTTCAACAAGCTTATGAATGATTTTTATTTTATAAAATTGAATTGTAGCAATAAGTTTCAATGTATTTAACTTTTAATTGAGACACTTACAATTATTATATTGTACATTTAAGTTACCTGTAGTCTAGCCAGATAAAGTATAGCTTCAGTGATAAAAATTATAAAATTAAACAAAATTTGTTTATATTAGTATAGCTCCTACAGTAAAAGCAAGAAATGAAGAATCATTTTAATATTCCTGAAAGTTTCTAGTTCCTACATATTTTGTCAAATATCACTGTCACTGTCACAATTGGTGAGCAAAAGTTTCTAATATTAAACTAATGTGAAAATATGTCTCCATATGTACATTTATTTTTTAATAATTGTCTCATTCTCTTTGATTCACTCGACTAATTTGTATAAATTTCCTCTGTTTTCTCTTATGAGTTCTAATGTTAATATAGTCTAAGATTTGTTTCCATAAAATAGCTTGTTAATTCTGATTTATTGTACAAGATACCCATTTTCATATTAAAATATTGCTAGGCAAGCATTGTGTCACTTGAACCATATCCTCAGTCCCTTATTTCTTTAGTTATTTTATGGATAGGGTCTCCTGTATTTGCACAGGGCCAGTTTCAGATTATGATCCTCCTATTTGTGCCTCCCAATAGCTCAGATTACAGGTGTGAGACACCATACCAGGTCCATCACTTTTACTCAGATTTCTTTCATTTTTTTTGTTTTTGTAGTTGTACTGGGTATTGAACCCAAGGCCTTGTACAGGCTAAGCAAGTGCTCTAACACTTGAGCGATGCCCCACCCAGTAAGCATTTTTAAAGATATCAGCTGAATTACAAAATCTCAACTCTGCAGAACTCTATACTGCATGCTTGTATTCCACAGTATTGCAGACAAAAGTGGAACATCAAAGTCAGCTTCAGCATGAAGACAGAATGTGTAATCGCCTTCAGTGACTCATCCTTTAGGCTGAGCATTATCTTCTCCAGTTCTCTCAACGCACAATTTTCTGGGCAACTAGCCTCATGAACATGCTACTTGTATAGCCACTTTATTTTTTAAATTCATTTTTATTTTGGCTGTACTCCAGCCCTTTTGGCTCTGCATCTTTTGGAGGTAGGGTCTCACTTTCTGGCCAGGCCACCCTGGACCATGATCCTCCTATTTTAAGCTTCTTGTTGTTAGGATGATAGGTGTACACACCACACCCACCTTTTTTTCCATCTCAAAAATGGTTTAGCCCTAATTGGCCCAATCTCAGCCTCCTGGTTAGCTCGGGGTAACAGGCACATGCCACCTCAATCTGCTATTGGTTGAGATGGGATCTTGTGAAGTTTTTGCCTTGGCTGGCCTAGAACTGCAATCTTCTGATCTCTGTCTCCCAAGGAGCTAGGATTACAGGCAAGAGTTACTGGCTGCAGCCACTTTAAATGGGTTGCACACTTGGCTTAATGATCTGATATTGCCAGTGTGAATTTTTTAACAAATTCTGAACAACAGACCCACATTTTAATTTTTACTGGACACCACACATTATGGATCCAGTACTGCTTGGCAGAAATAACACATTAAGTTATCATACAAATTTTTCTATTGAATAACTTTTTGAAAAGAAGAAGAGCAAGAAGGACACCAAATCTCAGTATTATAAGAGCAGGATGAGAAAAGACAACTTAAATGGTTTTTCAGACTAGATAATTTCTTTAATGATTATTTACTGAGTGCCTACTACAAGCTGTGTATTACCCCAGATGCTGAGTTACACAACAAATAATACAGACAGCCTCAGGCTTCATGGAGCTTCTATTCAAGAAAGGTCCACATTTGCCTGTGGCAGGTGGGGGATTTTTCAGTGTTTGGAAGATTTAATATTTTTATTGTATTTCTAGTGTTGCTAACCTTTTTATAACAAACTGACAGTAGTTAAGACAGTATGATTATTATAACTAACCTCTTATTGCTAAAAACCACTTCTGGAGTAAAATCTATTCACAAGTAATATTGCATTTTCTTTTTAAGATTATAAGAAATTTTATGACTCAATGTTGGTCATTCTCGCTACATGTTCACTGATAATATATAGTTTCGGAAAGGCAGCATAAGTACATTATTTAAGATGAAAGTTAGAGTTCATTAAAGGAGTAATTTTATAATGTTCCTTTCTTTTCTCTGTGATCCCTTTTAACTTAGGTTTAACTGTATATAAGCCATGTTCTCTTTAAATGAAATCCTTTTAGACAGAAGCATTAAATCTTCAAATTTGTTTTTTGTATCACTGGTTCTGAAAAAGAAACAGGAGAACAAAAGCAGACAGGCAACCAAATGAACAAAGCAATTCTTATAATTATGTGTAAAACAATCCTGAAACAGTATCCCCCAGGTAACAAAGACAAATTATTCTAGATCTGACTAAATTGTTCTTACTCTTGTAGGAAGAAACATATGTGGATGTCACTTAGTCCATTGTTACCTAACACAGTGGTGCAACCAGTGAATACTTGTTGCTTAAATTGATATGTGCCAATAGTTTCCTATCTATATCCTAGAAGAATCCATCTGCTAATGCTAGAACCAACATTTAAAGATCAGCTTGATAGAAAAGGTTTTCTCTTTTAATCTAGAAAAGGACTAGTGTCCCCAATAGAGGTACTTTTCATCACTCCAACTTCCTTTCACATTAATTATAGTACAAAAAAATTGAATATCCTTTAAAAAGCACAATTGTGAGAAGTAAGCACATTTTGTCAGTCTGATGTATGGACCTATATTCCTTAAGGAGTAAAATCAGTCCAGTGTGGAACCATGAGAAGGCACAAAGTCACAGGTGAATAACAGCATACAAGTCAAAATACTGACTGACTGGAAACAGAAAGCCAACTGTTAAGCATCCATCCAAACTGTGCAGGTCTACTGCAGTTGGGCTGTATGTTTTCAATAAATACTATTTCACCTAGTACCATATAAGAATATTCAATTAACATCCAATCTGGTAACAAATTGGCAAACAAGTACAGCTATGTTGGAATTGTCTAGATACATGCTGCTTGTATGTAATAGAAATGACAGTCCAAAACATTCTGAGACTTAATCTAGTGGTCCCCCATAACAAACCACTGTAAATTTTCTCATCTACAATTGTACATTTAATCAGATAAAATTGATAGTATATTTAAATTTTTAACTTTAAGACAAGGAATTTCACTCCCTTGCATTTATTTAAATTGCTTTTCATTGTGAAGAGATTTTACCATGAGATTCTCCGTATCTGACTACAGATGACTTTGTTAGTGGAGAATACACCTGTTACATATCTTTCATTTAAATATTCTGGAATTATCTCTCATGATTTTCTCCTTAGACTCTAACAGTTTCTGCTTAAAATTTCTGAAATATCATATCAATTTTTTTTGTAATTTGTTGTTTAACTTTATTAATGTAATTTCAAGATTTACACAGGGTTTGTAGTTAGTGGAAAACTGACATTATTAACCTATAAGACTATATGTAACTTTGTTAATGTTATTCACTTTATTTGCATGATTTCTATAAAATCTCATGTAAATCTAAGTCAAAATAGAAGTTAAGAATACCTCACAACTGTTATTTACTGACATTCAGAACAACAAGATTTGGCTTTTAGGAAATTAAAAAAGGAATGTTCTTAGATTGACTATAGATTACTTTGCCAAATTTAGAGAAATTATAAAAGTGTACATCATTTCCATCATAAATATGCTTCTTACCTGTGCTGCTGGAAATATTAACATCAATACTGATATCAGATATTCCTCCTCCTTTCAGAGAGGCTACACATGTGTATGTCCCAAAATCCGTGAATTTTAAATCAATGATATCCAAGTTCGTTGTTCCAGGAGAGACATCAGGGTCAGTCTGTGTAATCACCATCCGCTCAGAACTTCTCAATGGACGGCCATTTTTAAACCAACTAAATGTTAACTCCTCAGAAGGAACAGCTTCTACTTGGCAAGATATTTTCACCTCACGCCCAATCTGGATGTTGTCATCTTTGTGATAAGGATCAGGGGTGATCCAAAATCGTCCTTTTTTTAATGCTAAAACATAAAATTTTCATCAGGAGTTAGTGTTACTTTGACAATTTTAGGAATTCATTTACTCTATGAAATTATGTCTGGGCTGAAATAATATAAAACAAAACAAAATAAAATGTGTGTATGTCTTTGTTATTTCTGAGTAGTGTGCATACCAATAAATCTTATTTATGTAAAATTCAGAAATATTCCAAAATCCTAAGATGCTTAAGGACTATAAACAAGTCTTTTAATAAATTGAATAGTATGTTCCAGTGATACAAAAGGTAATGACTTAAACTACAGAATTATACTTTAATATACCATACTATAACTAAACACTATTGCCATTGAATTTTGAACAGATGAAAGAACTTGTTTAAATAAAAAGTCAAAAAGTCATAGAGTATTAAAGTTAAAAGTAATAATATGGATCATTTGCCCTAATACCCTCCTATGCACCCTTAATTATTCCATAATTTCCCAAATGCTTAAATACTGCACAAAAGTCATATTAAAGAAAGCTCTAAGGTTGTGTCTCATGCCGACCAAATCTAGTCCAGTAAGAATTGAGTTGGACCAGGTACTAGTGGCTCATACCTGCAATTCTAGTTATTCAGGAAACAGAGCTCAGGAAGATCACAGGTCAAAGCCAGCCTGGGAAAATAGTTCGAGTGACCCTATCTTGAAAAATAACCAAAACAGGGATGGCAGAGTGGCTCAAGTAGTCAAGTGCCTCCTTAGCAAGCTTGAGGCTCTGGGTTCAAACCTAGTACCGTGGCGGGGGTGGGGAAAAGAATTGATTTGGGAGTTTTCGGAATACAAAACTCAGTAGGGTCATATTCACAAGGCATTTTCAGACATAGAAATAACCTGAACTGCAAAACAAACAAACACACAAAAAAGAACACACATTTTCAAGACTTTTGCTATGAACTGCTTTACTCCACTTTGAATAGATATTTCCAGTTAAAACTGTTTTCTGGCTCTCTATTGCAGATGCCCAAAAGAACCTCTCTGGCAGATAGCTTGAAATACCTGCCACGTTTGTATGTATGAGTCTAAGGTCAGTGCTATGCTCACAACCAGAGTCAGCAGTAATGATGGCCAGAAGGCTGCTAGAGGATCATTTATAGGCTTCCTAAGGGTTTGAACTTTGAATGACACAGTGGGACTCAATATGGAATAGAATTTTGTCTTTTGTGATTGAGTCTCTCATGTACACATTTTTCTTTTTCCAACATCTTCTCCATTTCCCTTCACCTTAACATCGTCATCCTTATATGATTCAATGTAGCATATGCAATGGAACACAATTACCTGAATATAATGCTGGCCATTCACTTTTTAATCATTAAACCTACATGCCTAATAATACTGTTGAAATGATGTGAATTTAATAGATCTTCAGACACCAGAGGCTGTCTAACTGCATTCTGAGTAGCCTTTCCTGAATTTAACATGGTTTTCCACAGCTAGTGCAAGGAAGGGCAAGAAACAACATGGAACTCTATAGATATGTGGAATGAACTAGAGATGAGTTTTTAAATCTTAAAACAAAAGCTGTTCTAAGCCTCTTGACTTGTTAGCCTCAAATATTTTCATCTGCTTTCCTTTTTTATATTTTAGTGAGGACAAACAACTGATTATGAAAAACAAAATTTATATCTTTCTTCTTATTCAGAATATACCTATAAAGTCCCTTCCCAAGACTAAACACTAGATAAAGCCCTAATTAATTGAGATGAACAAAATACAAATAGTGATGGTTTCATGTTTGCACCTTGTATACTCATAGCTCAATTTCATCACTAAACACTAGTGTTACTTGTATCTAGAGAATCACACATTACATAGCTATGAAATGTTCTACATACCTGATGAACTCTGAATCTCAGAAAAAAAATGCACTGCTTCAGTCTTAATGAAAACACCAGAAAGCAAATATATTTTAATACTGTTGTTTGTTATAATTTTTCCATGTAAAATGAAGCTTATAAATCTTATTCATACCTAACCATATTTTTACAAATAGCTTATTGTAAGTCAAAATTAGTATCCTTTGGTCATATATTTATATCTTCATGGGCACTCAAGATATTTCACAGTGCATTCTGAATGGTATATGAAAAACATCTGTATCATATTTGGTGTATAATATTATGCATATACAATTGGAATGTAACTGTAATTCTGTAGCATAGAACAAGTCATAGGAACATAGAGAATTCTTTTTTTCTTTTAAAATAGACTTAGAAATAGTATCCAAGAACATTTATTTTGTTCACACCATAACACTTACATGAGTTTCTTTGCTAGATGTTTCTTAAATTGTTTCCAAAGAAAGATAATAAACAGAAATAGCATTTTTATACAAAAAATATAACTTTGAAATCTTTTTGAATTCTACACATTAACTTTAAATAAATTCATATTATTAATGTGAGAGATATATTAGTACTTTTATGAGTTTTTCCATTAGAAAGTTGCTTATGGGTTGCCATATGCAAACACACATAGCAAAATCGTCAGTTGTTTTGTGATTGACATTTACTTACTATGAAGTTATTGTTCTATGGTTCTGTGCTCTGCATAGTGATATATTAAATTGATATTAACACTGAAAGCATTGCAAACTCATCAGTCAAAACAGATTTAAACTCATTTAACAACTCAAACACATCGATAAAATACTTGAAATCAATATTCACGCTATGTATCACAGTCTGTTTTACTCATAAAATAACATAAAATGAAAAATAAAATTTTAGATTGTAAGTTATAGTCAACTAAATAACGTTATGTAGGGTGTATAATTAGAATATTTAATAGAAACAATATCAAAGGTGCTTTAAAGAATGATTAAGGAATGAATTTAATGCCAAAGTTTTTGCCGGTATCAGTATCAGATTATTCTATGATTTGGCCTAAGTTAATCATACCAGTTTTCCCAATGACACAGAGTCTGCAGAGAAAAAGAAACTAGTCAGTCTGTTAACTGAGTTCAAATCAAGGAATATCAAAACGTGTTGTTTGGATCATTTGGCTGGAGAATCATTCTCTATATTTGTTTATGTTGTGCCTACACAAAAATAACTGCTAGCATACAGAAAATAAATGGTCTAAGGAAAATAAAATTATTTCTGTATATGGTATGTGTATGTATATGTGTGGGTGTGTGTGTGTTCATCTACATTTACAGGACAATGAAATTTATTTGGTTTTCTCACTTAATTTGCTCAGAACCTAAGAGCTTTGCTTTGTAAACTGGGTATGGAGACATGACAACTTTGAACTTCATTCTAGTTTTTCATTTCTGTGTGGTCCTTAGATGGGCAATCTAATTTTTACGGGTCAAGGTGTCATTTATAAAATAAGGGTGACAGTGCTAGGATCCCTCAGAGAGCCATGGTAGAAATACTTTTAGCAATTGTGTTTGAGTTTTGAAAATATAAGCGTTAAATATAGTTAATCAGCTGGGTAGCAAGTTCCTTCGTTTATCATTAAGCACTCTCTTTTTTCTGAGAACAATTTTTAGTAGTTCATGAAATGTTAACTTAAAGTCATTTCCTGCTACCAGTTAAGATTTCAAACTCTAAAACCAATCTGAGATTAGAACTGGAATATAACAGTGGGTCAAATAGATTAAAGAGACTCTATGGAATTAAAGACATTCTTTTGAAAAAAGAGAGAGAGAGAGAGAGGAGAAATCTCTTTGCCCAATGCAATTTCTTAGTCTGAATATAGAAAATCCCCTAAAACCAGCCTGAGAGAACATTAGATTTAGCTTAATGTATCAATGTATCATAAATTGTGATGGATGAAGCTCAAAGGTACTTGGTTAATCTGGCAATTCATGTAAAAGATTAACATGACCTAAGCCTCTGTTCTGGATTATCAGTTTGGAAACTGCAATATAACCATAAGCCTTCCTTATTTAATTACTGTGAGATGTATGCAGACTTGGTCCACTCCTTTTTAATAAATTACCTGTGAGAACACTTGAAATTGCTTACTGTAGGGCCTCTACTTTGAAAATAGTAAAAACTGCTCTGTGGCATGGGCATGAAACCCATGTGTAAATCAGAGGCCACTAACTGCAAAATATTGGGTAGGGTTTGCTTCTGACTTTTCCTTAAAGAAAAAGCAGATATGTACCTATGAAGGCCAATCATTCAGGGAGATGTCCAATATTGAAAACTAGATGGCCTTTTGAGTTTAGGTTGAGGAGGCCTTGGCTTTGAAGAAGATTAGGCTTGTGGCTTCCCTAGGAAGAGACACAGATTTGTATCTTGGCTGTAGCTCCAGCCTTAAAATTGTAAAATACATTATTTTTGTTTGGTAAAAATTTCCTATAAAGTATACAATACATTAGTAGTTCAATAATAAAATTTTGCCAAGAGACAAAACACAACAGTGTTCTCAATTTTAATGAGAAGCATCTCTTGTGGAAATAAATATTAGGTG